TAAGTATCTGAGTTCAGTTTTCTTATTTGTGAAAGAACATAGATTTGGTTTGCAACAAGGAAATATATAGTTCTATTACTTAAATCAAACTTTATCTGGATTTTGGTCAGTACTTCTATTGTAGCGAAACACAAGATTATCTACCTAGTTGTCCAAGCCAGAAACTAGACTTTCATACTAAAATATCATCTCTCCCATGAAACATCAGACACATTTGACAAGTTGATTATATGTGCATTACTCACAAGACTTTTATAGTTTATCCTTCTTACTTCTCTGTCTTCTATACCAGTGTCTTTTCCTATTCTCAGTACCCATGACAGTAACTTCTCATGATTTGACCATACGTGCATCTTGTTATGAAGGACTTTGTACTTTTTGCTCATTCTAATTTTTCTCTCTGGAATGGTATTTTCCCACTCACTCCTTCAGTAATAAATAGATGAACTAATATTTATTATTAAAGTGTTAAAACTTATTATCTTATTATTTTTACTGTTGTAGCAGTGTCCTCCTGTTGTTCATCGATTTGCTCCAGCAGACACCAGTAACATCTCCATTGTGAGACTTGTTGTTACTGTTTTTGGCATATCGAGTACATCACGGGTAGTTTGCAAGGCTTTGCTGTGTGGGCGGGATACTCTCCGTAGTGTCCCAGGCTCTCCAAGAGAGGCGGAGGAATCAAACTTGGATCTCTGGGTCGGCCGCATGCAAGGTGAACACCCTACCCACTGTGCTATTGCTCCAGCCCATTATTATTGTTATTATTATTAAAGTCTTAAATCTTTTCCAGGAAGTGTTTCTATGCTTCTCCCTAATGCAATTCATTTCTTCATCACTACTTTACCAAGTATTATTTTCTATCAGGCACTTCTGATAATTTCTTATGCACTTTTTAAAAATATGTTTCTATTCTAATACAGCATCTTGAAGGCTGTATTCATTAAATTAGAGTAACTACATGATGATGTATAAAAAGATTAAATAATATTATGATCCAAATAAAAGATTTCTTAAAGCGTTTTTTATTTTTTCCTTTTTGGGTCACACCTGACGATGCTCAGGTGTTACTCCTGGCTTTGCATTCAGGAATCACTCCTGGCTGTGCTCAGGGGACCATATGGGAATCGAACCTGGGTCAGCTGTGTGCAAGGCAAATGCCCTACACTCTGTGCAATCATCACTCTAGCCCAAAGATTTTTTTTCATCTCTGCTCAGTAGTCTGGAGGTGAATACTCCAGGTACATATGGAACCTTCTCCCACACAAAATTATTCAAGGACAAAAATTACCCTGTATTTGTGATTTGACATTTACTTGTCATTTTCTTGTCAACACAGTTGAATAAGGCCACTGTTGAATCTGGCTCTACTCCATCGAAATTCAATTATGAAGTCAATCAAATTTTTGGTTTGACAAAGGTATAGGACATCTTATATTCATGTCTTGCATTTTATGGTGAAGAACTTTGTCTAAAAAATTTCCTGTTTTTGTTTTGGGGTCAAATTTTATGGTGTTCAGAACTTACTCCTGGCTCTGCTCTCAGGGATCACTCCTGGCAGGGTAAGGGGAACATATGGGATGCTGGGGATTGAACTTGGGTTGGTCTAATGCAAGTACTGCAGTACTGCTACTCTGTTCCCCTGAAATTTTATGGGTGAATATAGTTGAAAGAAAACAAGAAAAATGTTGTCTCTAAGGGGATGAATATGAAATGAGGAATAAGAAGAAAGTTTACCTGAAAGGGGTCAACTGGCCATTTGCAAACCAACAGAAAAATAATATCTTATTAACCTTTCTATCACCAAAACCTAAAATGAAGAAAAACTCAACACATTTTAATTAATAAAAAATTGTGTGATTTTCCACTTTTTCCCTAATTATTAAAATAGCAATAAATATCATTTGAAATTCTAGTTTATATAACATGCTACGGTTCTCTTAACTTTCATGGTATAGATGCACTGTTACTGAACCACCATCAAAGTAGTTAAGTCATTTTTAGTCTGTCTTGTTACCCCCTATGCCCTCCTCACTGATTTTAAATCTCATTTTTATAATCAAAAGTCAATGGTTTAGTTCTGTGTGATAGTACTGTCTATTCCATTTTTTTGTTGTTGCTCTTGTTGCTTGTACTTACTCTCCTGGTTTATATCCCATAACACTATACCTTCCAGCTTCATCCAAGTTGCAGTGAACTGCAAGATTTTATCTTTTTGAAATGTACATAGTATTCTATCCTGTTTACATACACAACTCTTTTACCCATGCAACTGTCATTGGACATTTGGGTTGTTTTAATAATCTACATATTGATGCATATGTAGTTTTGAATTAATAGTTTTGTGTTCTCGGGAGAGATGACAATAATTTGCTGAGACATTTGAAGGTTCTCATCTGCTTTTCTGTTTGATTTTTCAAGAAGTTTTTATTAAAATATTGTTAGTGGAAGTGTTTCATGCATACAATGTTTTGATTCGGTACCCTTTACCTGAACGTCATGCTTTCCTATATCACCACTTTCTGAGTCTCCCCTACCACTTCTTCTGCATCATTGAACACCACACCATTCCCTATTGTGATATTCTCAGTTTTGCAGACCAGTTCTCAGCTTCTTTTGATTTTAGGTATTTGTTACTTCTGTATTAGGTCTATTTAGATGCCGCATATGTTAGGGACCATTAGGTACCTGTCCCTCTTAATAACTTCACTCAGCCTAATACTCTATAGATACAGCCATGTAGCAGCAAATCACATGACTATCATTTCTTACTGCTGAGTAGTATTCCAGTGTGTCTATGTACCATAGTTTCTTTTTTAAAATTTAATTGAATCACCATGAGAATAGTTACAAGATTTCATGTTTGGGTTACAATCACACAATGATCAAACACCCATCCCTCCACCAGTGCACATTCCCCACCACCAATATCCCCAGTATAACCCCCTTTCCCACTCTCCCCCTGCCTCCATGGCAGACATGATTCCCCATAATCTCTCTCTACTTTTGGGCATTATGGTTTGCAATACAGACCCTGAGAGGTCATCATATTTGATCCTTTATCTACTTTCTGCAAATATCTCCCATCCTGAGTGATTCCTCCAGCCATATTTTTCTTAGTGATCCCTTCTCTATTCCAGCTGCCTTCTCCCCTTTGCTCATGAGGCAGGCTTCCAGCTATGGAGCAATTTATCTGTCCTTTGTATCTAATATCCTTAGGTGTCAGCCTCATGTTATGTTGTTTTATACTCCACAAATGAGTGCAGTCTTTCTATGTCTGTTCCTCTCTTTCTGACGCATTTCACTTAGCATGATAATCTCCATATCTATCCATTTATAAGCAAAGTTCATGACTTTATCTCTCCTAACAGCTGTATAGTATTCCGTTGTGTAGATGTACCAAAGTTTCTTTAACCAGTCATGTGTTCTAGGGCACTTGGGTTGCTTCCAGATTTTGGCTACTGTGAACAGTGCTGCAATGGACAGATAGTACCATAGTTTCTTCATCCAGTTTTCTGTTCTAGGACATTTGGGTTGGTTCCAGATTTGGGCTGTTGTGAATAGAGTTTAGGATTGTACAGGTCTTTTCTGGATAGAGTTTTTGGGCCCTTGAGGTAGATACTGAGAAACAAAATTGCTTGGTCATATGAAAACTCATTTTTCAGTTTTTGAGTTTTCCAAAGAGGATAAAATAGTCTACATCCCCAGTAACAGTGGCTGATGGCTCTTTTTTTCTCAACAGTCATGGCAGCTCTGTTTTTTTTTTTGTTTATTATTATTGTAATGCATGCTAGTTTCACTGATGTGAAGTGTTGTCTATTATTTTCATTTCTCTGATGATTAATGATGCAGTATTTTTTTTTAACATTCCTATTAACCCTCTATATGTCTTCTTTGAGGAATTTTCTGTTTATCTCCTGTTCCCATTTTTTTGATGACTTTCTCCTAGCTCTACACTTATGGGTTACTGATCAAGGGATCAGGAGGTATTATTAAAGGACTATTCTGTTTGGTTTCATGAAAAATTTCCCCAGGGGAATTACTTGAACATTAAATTGAGAAGAGAAAGATTCAACAAGTATTTCAGGGAAAATCATTGAGCCACTTCCAAGACAATTCAACCTGAGTTTTGTTGTTGTTGTTGTTTAGTTTTACAGGTACTTTATATAGTTTGGATATTAACCCTTTGTCAGGTGACTCATGGACAAATATTTTCTTCTAATCTATGCGATGTCTGTTTATCAATTTGGTTTTTGGTCATACTCAGTAGTGCTCAGAACTTTCTCCTTGCTCTACACTCATGCATTACTGCTCAAGGGGATCAGAAGGAATGCTGAGGATTAAACCTAAGTTGGCAGCATGCAAAGAGTGTGGTTTACTCACTGTACTCTTCATAATTTATTGAATATCTTGTTGAACCATATTGACTTTCTGATATGATATGAATAATAAACACCCTTGTCTTATATCTGAAGGAAGTTATCCTGCTTCATATGAGGAAAATCTGTACTAATAAAAAGAAGCTCATTTACAGTGATATGAATCTGGGACATGTTGACTTTTTGGTCCAACCCATGTTTACTTAAGACCAAAAAAAAGTAGTGTATAAAATATTAATAAATTATGGTAAAAGTTCAGATACATTTACTTTCCATTAATGCATATATTAATTGTGGATAATTTAGGGGAATTTTAATTTTGTGTTATATTTATACAAAAGCTTTACTCAATTATAGGAAATCATGAAGGCATCACTTAAAAATTAAAATTTATACACTGATATAGCATACATTTGATAGTCTGAAAATAATCTCACAGATGTAGACTTAAGAAAATTTTCATAATGGATATTTTCCAAGTACAATATGTTTATGTTTAACATTCTGTCACTGTATTTTTAGACTAATATAAAATTTATCTGTCAGATTGAATTAAAAGTCTTATTGGATACTTCTATCTTATGGTAGTTTCCATTTTATTTCTCTCATCTTTTAAAATAGGAGTTTTCACATTATTCTATCAGCTCATGAAGAGTTCATTAGTCAGTATCCTAAGATATTTGTGAAGAAAGAAACAAAACTGCCTACACTTCATAAAACAAAAATATTAAGGTAATGTTATTTTCTTTTGAATGCGAGCTTGTTGTATGTGTTTGTATGTGTAAGAAAGACCAACTAGAACTCAAATACTGAAATTTATTGGTCAGTTTGTAGCACTTCATGCTACAGTAGTCAAGAAAGTGGAGATTAATGTCTAAGAAGAATTTTTTTAAAAAAGTATGCCTAATGATGAGGTGCGAATTTATTTAAAGTATAAAAGGAATCTTTACCTTTAACAAATTGTGAATGATGACCATCTTGAAGGGTATTAAAGGACTATTCTGTTTGGTTTAATAAAAAATTTCCCCAGGGGAATTACTTGAGCATTAAGTTGAGAAGAGAAAGATTCAACAAGTATTTCAGGGAAAACCATTAAGCCACTTCCAAGACAATTCAACCTAGATTTCCTCCTATTTATTACACCATACACAAAGTTAATTTAGCATGTATTACATACCTAGTTATTAGAATTGAATCTATCAAGCAAGTCAAGTATAACATAGGCAGTACTCTCCATGATAGTCATTTCAGAGACATCTTTAATGATTCATTTCCACTGGCAAAGAAAAAAACAAGCAAATGAGATTACTTCAAAGTAGAAAATGTCTGCAATGAAGAGAAAATGGGGACCTGAGAGAGAATGCGGCAGGTAAGGCTTTTGCCTTGCATAAGATTGTCCTGGGTTCAGTTCTCTGAGACTACCAGGAATGATCCCTGAGCACAGGTCCAGGAGTAAGCCCTGAGCATCTCTTGGTATGCCTCTGCCATACAATGTAAAAGAAGCTAAAATAAAAGACACCCTATTGGGGCTGGAGTCATAGCATAGCAGGTATGGTGTTTGCCTTGCATGCAGCCAACCCCGGGTTTGATTCGCAGCATCCCATATGGTCCCCTGAGCACCGCCAGGAGTCATTCCTGAGTGCATGAGCCAGGGGTAAACCCTGAGCATCGTTGGGTGTGGCTCAAAAAGCAAAAAAAAAACAAAAACCAGACACCCTATTAAATAGGACATGTATACATCTGATGTATACTATCAATGAGATGTATTAATCTTAATGTAATATATATATATATATATATATATTCACAGAACTTCACCAGAATAGGGCCACAAAGAGTATAGGGGTAAATATTCACATGGTCAATTCCTGTTTGATTCCTTGTTCCGTGTATTGTCCCCTGATGGGTGTGATAGCTGAGCACAGAACTAGGAGTAGTCTCTGAGCACAGTTGGGTGTGTCTCAAAACGAACGAGTATAAAACAAAGCAAAGTAACAAAAAAATACTTAACAAGAAGTAAGAAACCCTATTTTAAAAATGGGGAGAGGCACTAAACATACAATTTCTCAAAAAAGTTATACAGATGGCCAACAGTATGTGAAAAAGTGCTCATAATCACTTATCATCAGGGTTGTGCAAATCAGAACAGCAGTGAGATGCCACTGCACATCACTGAGAATAGCTCGGATCAAAACATCTCCTTGAGCAATTCATATTGTGCTTATGTTCTGGTTCATGAAAGGAAAGTACAAATGTCATTGTGTTTATAGTGAGATTAGGTTATTATTCCTTATGTTCGTGCATTTCGATCTACATTGCTCTGTAGAGTTTGTAATGGATAAATGATTCATAATTGGCAGCATTTAATATTTCTAGCTGCTAAATAGGAGGCCTGTGTCTGACAAAAATAATAAATAAATCCAATAAATTTGATACAGTGTGTTAAAATTCCTAGGAAAGATAACTCATTGGGTTTTTTGGAAAGGGAGAAAAGGCAAAGATTCATCTTCGGCTAGAGTATACTACAACTGATTAATGTACATATTTTTTGGCATTTCTGTGTATATGAAGGACAGACTAAACCTTGAAATATCTGTTCCACTTTTCTAAATATGAAAGAGATCAGGTAAATTAGAGAAGATTTTGGTGAATAAAACTGATGATGAATCATGAAATTTAGTTACATCAGAAATAATTCATTAGTAGTTTTAACCTATTAACATTATTTAATAAAATAATGTCTAAAATTTATCTAGAATAAATAAATATCATGTGACAGATACAAAAGCAAAGTTGAAATATTCTAGCTCTTGCCTGGTTTAGGTCTGGTAAAAATCCCTGATACCAGGGCATTTGCTAAATAGTGATGACAATTTGCAAGGAATGTAGAATAATGCCTCATACAATCACTTAATACATTTGAAGCAATGCCACTTTAATGAAAATAGATGGACGACCTAAGATAGAAGGAATCAATAATATTAGAGGAAAAAGTATGAATACAGGATAACAATATGATCATGGAATCAAATTAACAAAAGGTATATTTGTGAATATAGGAAATCCCATAGATTGTCTTAAAACAAATTCTGAAATTTGAATTACAGTTTTTTTTTTCCTTTTTGGGTCACATTCGGCAATGCTTAGGGGTTCCTCCTGGCTCTGCACTCAGAAATTACTCCTGGTGGTACTGGGGGACCATATGGGATGCTGGAAATCGAACCTGGGTTGGCTGCACGCAGAGCAAACGAAGGCAAATGCCCCACCCACCGTGCTATTTCTCCAGCCCATACAGTCTTTTTTAAGACCAGATAGACACAATATGATTTTAAAATAGTTTCTGATGCTTCAAAGCATACACTTTTTACTTTATTGTGGACTATAGATTGCATGATATTTTACATAGATTTCTACCATCTATTAATAACTTCTGCCTTTCATGGAGTTTAAATAATAACAAAATATGAATGCATTAATTAAGGGCTGGAGCGATAACACAGCCAGTAGGGCATTTGCCTTGTACGTGGCCGACCTGGCCAACCCCAGTTCGATTCCTCCGCCCCTCTCGGAGAGCCTGGCAAGCTACCTAGAGTATCTCGCCCGCACAGCAAAGCCTGGAAAGCTCCCCGTGATGTATTTGATATGCCAAGCACAGTAACAACGAGCCTCACAATGGAGACGTTACTGGGCCCGCTTGAGAAAATCGATGAACAGCGGGAGGAGAGTGCTACAGTGCAGTGCTATCATTAATTTAAAAATACTCATATTTTTTACTGCAACAAATTTAACATGCAAATGTTTTTTTAAAAAATAGATTTTTAATCAGTGCATCTTTATATCAGTATAATTAAATATGAAATAGAAGTTTAAGGAAATGTAGAAATTGAAGAAGCAAATAAGCATCTACAGAATTGTAGTAGATACCTTACAAATGTACTTTTCAAACTATGAGTGTGAATGTGAAATAAGAATTCAGCTATGTACGAGGAAAACTGCATTCTACTTATCTCATTTGACTTTATAAAAAAATAGCTGTTGATCTTTTGGAGTATCTGCATGGTTTTCTGTTTTTACTGTGCTTGTGAGTAGAGGTTATTCTCCTTTCCAGAAAACCTTCAGAATCAGTCTCCATAGCCTTCTCACAGAACCCTCTTCTGGCACAAGTGTACTCCCCACAGCTCCTGTTCCTCAGCCTCTGCCACCAAGGCATCTTCTAAGTTGGCACCCAAGAGGAGAAAGACTATAAGTGGGGCAGAATGACCAGCTTGTCTCTGAGATTGTTGTCTATGTCCAGATCATGCTGGAGTTCTGTGCCTTAGTACTGCTTTTGCTGTGTCCCATATATTTGGGTATTTTCTGTGTTCACTACTGTTTGGTTACAGAACTGGTTTTAAATTTCTCTTAGTTTTCTATATTAACCTAAGTTTTTTAGTCTTGTTTTGATTCATTTCCATATACCACCAACAGCCCCCCACTCCAGGTTTGTGCGTGTGAGAGTGTGTATGTGTGTGTGTGTGTGTGTGTGTGTGTGTGTGGTCGACTTCTTACATTATTTCATTGCAGTTGGAATATATACTTAGAATGATTTGAATCTTTCTTACTTTATTGACACTACATTTTATGTTTCAATATCTGGTTTATCTTTGAGAATTTTCTTCTGTGTGCTCTGGAGAAAAATGTGTATTTGACCTTTGTAGTGCTTAGAGTCATCTAAGTATTAAGTTCATATCATCTAACTCTTAATTTTTGAATGTTTATTTGTCTGGCGGATCTGACCATTGTCATGTTGTGTGTTAAATTTTCTTCCTACCATTGTGTTGCTGTAGATATCCCTGGGTTTGTTTATGATTTCATATATTTGGTGCTCTTTCTTGTAGTACATGTGTACCAGTAATGCTAAGATTTCTTGATGTGTTGATCCCTGAATATCTCTCTCTCTCTCTCTCTCTCTCTCTCTCTCTCACACACACATACACACACACACGTCTTGTTTCTTTTTTTGGGGGGGTTAGGGGTTATAGCAGTAATTCTCAGGCATTTTTTCTATATCACTCATGGAGTTATCCAGCAGACATGTGGTGCTAGGATCAAACTGGGGGTTGTGGCATACAAGGCAAGCACCCTATCTGCTATAATCTTTCTCTTAGTATCCCTTTGTTACATGTATTAGTCTGAGATTTATTTTGTTTGATACCATGATGACTGTCCCTGTCTTTTTAAAGCTACTGTATGTCTGTATGTCTATTCCCAATCTTCTACTCTGAAATTTGTTTACCTATGGTGCTCACGAGGACTCTCCTGGAGACAAAACTGGTCGAAATTTGTTTGATGAAATAAGTCCATTCTGTGCCCTTTGGTTGGTGATTCTATGCCACTGATAATTAGTGAAATTGATATAGAATATCAAATTGTCTTGTTTTTTAGGTGGATTCTGGGTGTTATTGTAGTTATGACTAACTTAAATCAATTATTATAGTTATCTCTAAGTTTACTAAGTTTCTTAGTTCTTCTTTTTCTCTACTTTTTACTTAAATATCTGCATTTTGTGAGTGATTAGATTCCATTTGCCTTTTCTTGTTCTTCCTAGATAGTTTTACTTTGTGGTTACCATAGATTTACTTGTATGATAAAATGGGAATATCTTATTTTAAATGTAAATGTTTTGTTCTTCCTATGTATTCTAAAATTACTTGAATTTTTTC